AATAAATAAATAAATAAATAAATAAATAATCTAAAATATATAAATAAATAAATAAATAAATAAATAAATAAATAATTTAAATTCCCAGTACCTTATAGATACTTTGTTTTTTTTAAAATAATATTTCTTTACTTAATGTGAGGAACTGAAAAATAAAAATGAACTGATATTAAGAGATAAAGATTCCACCAACATAGCAGCTGTCCTGAGGTATAATTTTAATTTAACTTCTGTGTCATAAAACAAAAAAAAACAAAACAAAAAAACAAACTGATCATATCTCAGTTTCTTCCTCTTAAAAAAAAAAAAAAAAGTGGCCTTAAACTAGATAAGCCACAATACCTCTTTTAGGTTACAAACTTTGTTTTAGACAAATACCTTAAGATGACATTTTACATGAAATGTTGTAAAAGTAGAGGAAACCTGCCACATTTAAAATTAACAGGCTTTCATTAAATAACTTGTAGTTAAAGTATTTCTTTAAAATCAATGGATTGTTTAGTTTTAATTATTAAGCACGCTACTCGATACAAGCAAATGGGTTATATAATTAACTACATCTAAATAGAAAAGTTAAATAATAGGAAAATGACTTTTAAATGTGCAGCACAGGACTAGTTGTTCTATTTTCATTAATTGTCATGTATCTTGCCATGTCCTTTATCTGCTTGTGAATTTACAATGAACACAGCAGGTTGTGAATTTTTAATAGGCTTTCCTCAAGGAAAGAAAAGGTCAGTATTAACATAAAATTCTTCTTAAAGATTTGTGGCACAAATGTTTCACACAGGAGAACAGGTGTTACTGAGGAACTAAAGCCACAATAATCTGACATTTTTTTCTATGTTTAAAGAAAACTTAATGTCTCACATAATAAAATAGCACAAGGTCAAATCAATACAAAAGTTATTTCAATGTGGATGCTGTAAGTTACTTGGCACATGATCCATAATCGTATTTCTTGGTAACATAAACAACTGATTTTGTTCAATTAAGTATTTAATAAATCCAAGTATTGATACCTAACATCCAAATAAAAAAAAAAAAAGAGAAGAGTAATGTGAAAGCTATCGTTGCAAGGACTAACTAACCCTGGTCTGATCTTTACTTAGTTAGTAAATGAATCGGAATGTGAAATAAAATTCTATCACACATACAAGGAATGAGGAACAGAGACATTATACCAGGGTAAGGGTGGGAAAAATATACAAAAGAAGGATAATTAAAATAATAAAGAGCAACTTAAAGAGAAGAGAGGACACTTAAGCAGGAGAATATAATTCAAGAATTTTGTCCACTGGTCTCGTTCTGTAACTGTAAGAAATCAGTAATACCAGCATACCTGCTATGAGTTCGCTCTTGTCTTGTGAGCGTTTCAAACATGGTTTCAACTCCCCAGGTCTCAGGGGGTCTAGAAATACATCTCTCTGCCTTACAGTAAATATCTGTTGCAGTTTCTTTCTTGTCCAGTTCCCAAACATGTTTATTTAAATCATATTTTGATTAACACAGGCCAATGGTAATTTGGGCCCCTTATTCTAGTGTTAGTGTTCTGCAAGAAAATAAGATACTTCTTTTTTTTTTTTTTTTTCCACAAGCTCTAATGGTTTAAGAAAAATGCTTTATAAGTCTGGCTTTTTAAGACCAAAACTTATAAATGCATAGGTCTAATTTGTTTCCCTTAATTATAAGGAAGTAGAAATACTTTCATTTCTTAGTTGCGTATAACACCCAGTGCTCATCACAGCACGTGCCCTCCTTTTTTTTTTTTTAGATTTTATTTATTTATTTGACAGAGAGAGAGATAGTGAGAGAAGGAACAAAAGAAGGGGGAGTGGGAGAGGGAGAAGCAGGCTTCCCACTGAGCGGGGAGCCCGATGTGGGGCTTGATCCCGGGACCCTGAGGATCATGACCTGAGCCAAAGGCAGACGCTTAACGACTGAACCACCCAGGCGCCCCCAACACGTGCCCTCCTTAATACTCATTTCTGATTCCTCAAATCACAGTCCAGCTTTTAACCCTCATCTCTCTGATTTTGTTCTACCATGTGCAACTTCCTAATCCCACGGAAACTTCCATAGTATGGGGCCCAATTACAAGACGTAATTTTCTCTTTCTATAGTATAAGTGAAGGTAAAAATCCTGCTGTGATTCATATTTCAAAATTGAACTTTATAATAATTAAGATCTCATCATTCTAGCAATTTTTTTTGCATGTCTAACTGATTAGAATAGCAGAACTGGTCTTAATGATTTACATCTTGCTGTATATCCTTCCCCACTCCAAATCTACATTCTGTATTCACCTAGTGTTCTGTACAGTTTGTAAAAAGCAAAAATTTCCCTAGTTTAAACCTCTACTCATTCTTTATCCAGTAGTTTAAATGATAGTGCCGTAGGAAAGCCTCACATACTGCTGTGGGCTAGTTTTGGAGATGTCTTGTGAATTTCATTTGAATTTTCCATAGCACTAGAATAGAATTGCTGATTAACTTTTAGAAGTACTTGATTCTTATGAGAGTAAGCACATATTTCTCAATTACAATTGTGAATAGACAAAAATGAATAGACAATAAAAGTCATAACTGTTTGCCTCAAACCACAGTTATCTGATCAAATGATTAATAATATTAATAATATCAATAATCTTTTCTTGAATTATTTTGATTCCCAGACAGAATAAGAAACATGCAATGCTTATATCTGCCATTTGGAAAATTGCCATGGTTGCACACTCATGTAATTGGAAAGGTTCCAATTGGCAACTATGTGTATTTTCAATTACTAAAAACATCAATCTTGTGACTTTTTGAGAGTGGTTCCCTGGACAACACAGTCATATGTTACTTCTGAGAGCTTTTTAGCTAACAGCAGATAGTTCTTGAGTTTCTCAACCTTACCTTGTTGTTTATGAATAGCTAAAAATGCAGTAAAAAGCTATTTGTTCCCTGACTTCTCTTTTTCTTTAAAGAGCATATCCATTTGGGTTTTTTTCCCCCATTATATCTGTAATAATGAGTTATTTGTCCAGAAATCAGAAAAACTGAGTTTGATCCAAATTTGATGGCTTAATGTTAATTACTAAAAACCATTAACTAAAGAGTAGACTGCTTTTATAGACCCAACAATAGCCAGTAATACAACATATTAGTTATAGGTGTATGTTTCTAACATGTATTTATTTTAAACAGGTTCAGGTTCATGTAAAAATGATTCCGCAGCCAAGTCCATTGACATAAGCTCCAAAAAAGAAAAAGAAACTTTCAAATAAAAAAATAAAATTCTACTTTAAATAGAAAGTAATCAGTTTAATATTCATATATGCAATTAGATGAAAATGTCTGTTGATGTAAATAAGCTAAAGCAAAATACCGAACCTTATTTAGATAAATATCTAATTCTCTAATTTTTTGCATAATTGAAGGATATTGTCTCCAATTTTAAATTTTCTAGGTTATACCTCATTGTGCCTATTCTGATTTATGACTACATTTTACATGAATTCTTTAAAAAAAATGTTTGCAATGATGTCTAACTTATAATAAATGCCTTATAGAACTTTAGCAAATCTACACATTTTTTCATATTTCTTATCTGATAGAAAAGCAAAATAAAAATTTTAAAAACATAATCTCGTACTGCAAATAATCAAACTATGATCCCAGCATAGAAAATGTTTATTGGTTGGATGGTACAATTAAAGAAAAAGTTACAATCCTTGTATTTTACAAAGCCGTGCTCTGTCCCTCCTATACCTAAGCTCCATCATTCAGGGTAAGAGTTCCATGGAGAGCAGGGGATATTCACATTTGGAACCTACACATCAATTTCCAGATTATATTCAAGGTACCTGGGACCCATTATTCCCTGCCTAGACATCCCCAGCTTGCTTTTAGGTCCAAGGAGGCTCTGTCCTTCAGGTCAGTCACCCAAAAGCCGGACTTACCCACTGTTATATGCATCCTGAACCATGGGGACAGTCCTAGTGGGCATCTATTAAAATACAACATAGATGGAATTTGCCCATGAAAATAAAAATAAATAATAAATAATATATATATTATATATAAGTAAAAATATATATAAATAAAATAAATAATAATAAATAAAAAATGAAAACATGGAATCCTGGGTCTCATTTGCACTGGGATGGGTGACACAGTGGGCTGAAATGTCCACATGAATGCCTGCAACACTCTTTGACATGACGAGTGAATTCTGGAAGATAAGTGTTGTGGGCATAGACAAAGGGCAGGAAACAGACATGTTTTGTATTTATTGCCTTTTTCCTGCACAAAACTTGTTTGAGGTTATTAAGAAGATAGATTTGACAAGGTAGGAGCCTATATAGAGCATATTTTATTGTAGAATTTATTAACATGATTTATAATTTTAAAATAGAGACATCTATTTTTACTCTTTCCCTGAGTCCCAAAAATATCTGTGGGGCAATCTTTTGTGTGTGTGTGTGCATATGTGAACCAAAAATACATAGTGTTTCTAAAATAGGTGCTATGTCTCTTACAACTTTGCCTGTCTTACAGTTAAGACATCTCTAATTCTCCCATGGAAATGCAATAACAAATAATAAATTTATAAGAATTTCCTCAATAATATGAGAGTAAAAGAATTTGCCACTCACGGAAAGAGATGAGAGAAGTAATGTTTACACAAGCATGTCAAGACTGATGATACATGTCTTTGTCAAGAGTTAATTGCTTATGAAAATGGTTATTTACCAAGCAAAGCAAAGAGGGGAACTTGTTTGGTTTATTTTTATTACTTTTTTCCATTTAGAGTTAAAATCATACCGGTATGTGAGAGGCTAGTCTTATTGTTTAAGACATATAGATGAGTGTGTTCATACTTATTCAACTCTCATTTCAAGAACTAAGATAACTGACCCCATTATTTAGTGATGGGACATGAGAGACTTTTAATTCTTTCAGCATTATGTACTTTTAGACATTATCATGGATGTGCTCTTTATTTCCCCTAGCTTCATTCAGACCAAGATAAAGGAGATGGATCACTCAAATATATTTTATCTGGAGATGGAGCAGGTACTCTTTTTATTATTGATGAAAAAACAGGTGACATTCATGCCACAAGAAGAATTGATAGGGAAGAAAAGGCCTTTTATACTCTGCGTGCACAAGCTATTAACAGAAGAACTTTGAGACCAGTAGAACCAGAGTCTGAGTTTGTGATCAAAATCCATGATATCAATGACAATGAGCCAACGTTCCCAGAAGAAATTTATACAGCTAGTGTTCCAGAAATGTCTGTTGTAGGTAAGTTCATTTATAAGTGTTATCATGGTATACAAAAAGTATAAAAAATAATTATCAAGAAATTCTTAAAATACTATGATCATTTAATTGACATCTTCTTTGATTCCCTCCAAAGAGTACTTATTTAATTTCCTCATGTTGAAAATGAGTCAGAAAAAAAAAATCATTTCTTACGTTATGGATTTGTAAATCTTTACAAATAAGTAGATACTTCCCTCAAAAACCCAAGAAAATACCACTGAACTTTAGTAGAAAACTATGAAATACATCCTTGTCACTCAGATTTGTATAACAGCTGTGTAAAATTCTGACACGAAATATATTATAAGCACATTCAGAACGCTGTAATGTATCTGATTCTTTCATATTAAGTATTTTAAAACATCTTTTAATTATAATCATTATATGTAAAACTCCGCTGATATAAATCCGTTATTCAAATAAACCAGTTGAAATTCCACAATCACATACTGATACAGAATTGAAAATTTAGGTTGTAGAATCTGTAAGACAGAAGGCATGATAAAGCTGTAAGTATAATATTCAAGATAATGAAATTTTCTTTTTCATTGGAAATAAATGAAAGTTGTATTTGTAAGCAAAGAAAGTTCAGACTACTTTATTTTTTTTTTACTAAATAGAGAATGACAAAAAAATAATTATCAGGAAGCAATGATAACATTTTTTAGAGATATATATTTAGCTTTGTAGAATAGATTTATTTCTCAAATGTGGGAGAAGTCATATAAACCGATGAAATAATTCTGATACTTTTAACAGTTGTAACAGCACATTTTCAATTCTGCATTTCTCAAAAGCATTGTTCTGGGATTATTATTATTTTTTTAAAGATTTTATTTATTTATTTGACAGAGAGAGAGACACAGCGAGAGAGGGAACACAAGCAGGGGGAGTGGGAGAGGGAGAAGCAGGCTTCCCGCGGAGCAGGGAGCCCGATGCGGGGCTCGATCCCAGGACCTGGAATCATGACCTGAGCCGAAGGCAGATGCTTAATGACTGAGCCACCCAGGCGCCCCTGTTCTGGGATTATTATTTAATATTTACTTCACTAAATCCCAAGTACTTTGGCAATTGCTTTAGTATAAAGCCCTTTTATATTTTTTGAACTTTATTAAATAGCTTTTAATAGTTCATGGAACTTGGGATCATCTTGGATTGTTTCTAAATTTAGAATTTAATCTATTCATAAAATTGTATTCTAGAGCAGATGTTAATTATTTTTACAGTTAATTAGTGGGCAGGAGGAAAGAAGAGCACACCTACTCCTTTGTGATCAGATATGCCCTTTACACTAAACAAATATATTATGTGAAAATGAATTTAAATATCAAACCTGAGCATTTGCAGAGTAACTGCATTTATTATAATCTGATACATTGTAGCATTACTTATGCATGCATGAAAATATACCTGTTGGCTAACTATGTAGCTGAATTCACAATTTTCCTGTAATAACACTATAAATATGATTTTCTTGTCAATTATATATAAATATTTCTTTAAGAGGTCATTATTAAAGCCAAAAATCATTCAAGTCTTCCATGAAAACCAGTGCTTTTGCTCCTCCTTCTGGTACTGTGCAGAACTAAGCTGAATTTGGATACTTCAGGTACTTCTGTGGTGCAAGTCACAGCTACAGATGCCGATGACCCTTCCTATGGGAACAGCGCCAGAGTTATTTACAGCATACTTCAAGGGCAGCCTTATTTCTCTGTGGAGCCTGAAACAGGTCAGGAATCATGAATCAGTGTTTGTTCATTTAAGTCTTTATGATCTTTATAAGTAGAAAAAAGGTGGGAAAATAAGAACATTAACAGTAATACTTACAGAAGAATAATGATGCCACACTTAAAGATTTAAGAATTCAAAGTTGAATGATTGAGTGAGCTGATCAAAATATACCTGATTTTTATGTTTTTTTTACCTATGAGTTTAGGCAACTAAATAGCACATATGACCTTCTTTAGGTAATAGAAAAACCACGCAAATGGTAAAATATTTACATTGAATCACTTCTGCAATTTCTAGACAATAAAAATTAATAGCAAAAGCATACTTTGTCTTTCAAAAATCACTAGATAGATAATTTGTGGTCTTAGTCAACTACTAGTTGAGATTTTAATGAGGATAACAGAAGTTTTTATATTTTCTTCAAGGTATCATCAGGACTGCTTTACCAAACATGAACAGAGAAAACAGGGAGCAATATCAAGTGGTAATCCAGGCCAAAGATATGGGCGGCCAGATGGGAGGCTTATCGGGGACTACCACGGTGAACATCACACTGACAGATGTAAATGACAATCCACCTCGCTTCCCCCAGAGTAAGCTGCCTTTCATGGTCCTTTCCATAGGGCAAAAGCTTTGGACTGAAAAGAGAAAAGTAAAAAGCAATTGTCAATCATCTAATTTTCAAAACATTGAAAATGTGCTACAAATGTGAAGAAAAGGTGCATATGCTGATGAATTCACTGTTACTAAAATATAAAAATTAAATATTTCAGACATATTTCATTTACAAGCTGGGGATCTGTGATCACAAAACCTGCATCTATGACTGTAATCCAAGAACTGTTTCTTTTAGTTAGCAAAAGGAAATAATGTTTTATTGGAAAACAAAGCCCTGCTTCTACAATGAATGTGTTTATTTCCACTTAGAATTTAATAAGAAGGATCCTAACTTGAGGGTAAAATTTTTCAGTAAAATATCTAATTTGTCATAATATGAAGACTTAGCCAGAAAGGGCGATAGAGGCCAGAACCTAATAAACTAATCAGACTTGCATTTAATATCACTGGGTCAGACTTGCAGTTACTATTTCTGTGTTTGGAATGGTAATCATACTATAAGATTTTTTTATACTAAAACATTTTGTATTCCTGACCTATTTAGTTATAAAACACTAAATCTATTTAATGCTACTGTTTTCTACTTCGATCTATTTTTGTTATAAAATGAAACCTTCAAATTCTCAAAAGAGATCAAGAATAGGTTAGGAACCATTAGATTCTGACCATATAATACATGTATTTATTCTCTCTTTTTATACAAATTTGGTAGAAATGAACGGGCACTCCCAAGAATCAGAAAATTTCCCGCTGACGTGAAAGATCCTATACTTCAAGATGAAATTTATGTTGTTAGAAAAGTGGCATAGGGGCCCCTGGGTGGCTCAGTCATTAAGCGTCTGCCTTCCGCTCGGGTCATGATCCCAGGGTCCTGGGATCGAGCCCCGCATCGGGCTCCCTGCTCAGCGAGAAGCCTGCTTCTCCCTCTCCCACTCCCCCTGCTTGTGTTCCCTCTCTCACTGTGTCTCCCTCTGTCAAATAAATAAATAAAATCTTAAAAAAAAAAAAAAACTGAAAAAAAATGTGGCATAGTATGCAGGCTGTAGTAGGATCTGTGTCCTTAAGTTTAGAATTTGCTATGTATTAACTTCTAAATTGATCCCCCAATTTTAGTTTGGTTTTAGCTTAAATACTTGTATGATACCATATTAAAATGTAGCTTTTTGTGATATTTATATTTTTATACTAAAGACTACAATGCAGAAGGATTTAGGGTCTAAGAATTCACTCTATTATTTTGACTGTTTAAAAGCATTTTGCTTTTTTTCTATGCTATTTTTATCTAACTTTGATTATTAATAATAGTGATGATTTTTTTTTTAAGATTTTATTTTATTTTTTTGACAGAGAGAGACACAGCGAGAAAGGGAACACAAGCAGGGGGAGTGGGAGAGGGAGAAGCAGGCTTCCTGTGGAGCAGGGAGCCCGACGCGGGGCTTGATCCCAGGACCCTGGGATCATGACCTGAGCCGAAGGCAGACGCTTAACCGACTGAGCCACTCAGGCGCCCCAATAATAGTGATGATTTGAATTGAATTGTTTAAAATCATGTGTATAGGAAAATTATAAAATTCACATAGAATTTTTTTTGAGCAGACTAATCTTTTGCTTATTATTTGTGATGATCCTTTTGTTGGATATTAAGTTATATGCCCATTAGGTCTGCTGTTGTGGTGTTTGGCCCAAAACACAGAGCAAAGAGTATTCATTTATGCCCTTTTCAAATAATCAGATTGCAGCTCCAGATTACCTGTAGCATGGGCAGGGAAAAGAAAACCAATAACAATCCCTAATGGTTCTTTTAGAATAAATCTGAAGATATGCCTAGTTGCATTAAAATACAAATTTCACATTTTGTATATATTTCTGACCACCTCTTAGCATGAATTTATTATCAGGAGAATGAACATGCAAATCTAGGAGAATAAACCATAACTAATTAATCACATTATCCACAATAAGCAAAAGTAGTCCTCAAAAAAGTATTTTGTCAATAATAAATGACCATTAAGGGGAGTATTATATTTTAAATGCTCAGGAACATATATACACATATGTCAAAAACACAGCTCATCTAAAAATGGTGCATCCAATTAAGCAAATTAGTAGATTCTAATTAAAGGCAAAAAATAGATATTTGAAAAATAATAATGTCCAATGAAAATTATTCATTTTATATTCTTTCATCTACTACAACTACCTTTATTAATTCATTCGATAATTATTTCCTTTCCTTTTGTGAAGTCAGAATTTATGATTGGTATCTGATAGTCACCTTACACAAGCCCTAACGTAATTATAATAGTCATAGCCCTGGTAATAATAATGATATAATAATAATAATAATATAATGATGATAATAAAAAGAATCATCAACATAACCTATTTTCTGAATAACATTTTTGGGGGGACACTGTACTGAGTTATTTATTGACCTACTTTATTTAATCCCAAAAACTCATTCAGCTCAGTATTATGATCTCCATTTTACAAATGGGGAAACCAAGGTTATAGATGCTAAGGCCAAACTATAAGTAATGAAAGAGGTGGGTTGAAATCCATGTCCAACCCCCTATGTACAATACAATACATTTAGTGGAATTTTAGAGTACCTTGTATCTTGCCTCATTATTTTTTAATTATAGATAGAAACATAATTTGTAGATTTTTATTTTCTCAATTATCTTTTCTGCTATGAATATTTGAAACCATATCTTACTATTGGGAACACTCAGTCATGGCAATTAGAATGTTACTTGATAGTCTAAGTCATCTAATATCCAGAAAACTAGTTTTTAATTTCTAATCATTTCATTAAATAACCAGTGTTTGGAGAGAGTTCCACACTTTATGAAGACCATATGCAGCATAACATTGAGAACTCAGAACTAACCTATTTAGACCCCTTGTTGTTGTTATTATTATTATTATTATTATTATATCCACTGTATGGAAAAATGAAGGCGATTCAGAGTGGAAATGATAAAGACAACAAACAAATGCTGCTTAATAGAAATATAATGCAAACCAAAAAAGTATGTGTCACATATGTAATTCTAAAATTTTTTATCAGCCATATAAAAAAGTTAAAAGAAGCAGAAGACATGTATTTTTACCATATATTTTCTTTAGCCCAATATTGTCCTTTATACATACCAATATGAAACTTATTCAGATATTTTATATTCTTTTTTCCCCATAATTCTTTGAAATACCCACTTATATCAAGTATTTTCTAGTTGTTCTCAAGTCTCAATTCAGACTAACCACATTTCTTGTCAATAGCTACATGAGGTTTAGTAGCTTGGCTAGCGGCTGCCATATGGGACAGATCTGCAGCAGACTGTGAGTCATTCTGCATGAGTCCCAATGCTGTCTTCTTCACTTAGTAGCTTTCTCATGTTGGTCAGTTAAACTGAACCCTCTATTTTTCAGTGCCATTCAGTAAACCTGGATAGCAGTGCATACTCCGTGGAACAGTGTAAGACTGAACAATTTGACATCTGTGAAGCACTTGGCTCAATGGCTGGCACTAGCGTACTTATGGGTTCAGTAATGTTGATTTGTGCAAGTACTGCTCTATTACTATTATTAGTCAATGTTATAAAAGTAGCCTCAGAACTTAAATGTCCATGTAGATTGGCTGATCCAAATTCAACATTTCCCAGAATGCTATATCTGTGGAAGATAAACATCTCAGTCATTTAGAAGGACAGGGAGAGGTGGAAACTCAGATGTCCTGCTTCATTGTTTACCTTATTTCATTGTGTGGCTCTACAGCAGTCATTCTCAGTCAGGGACAATTTTGCCACCCAGAGAACATTTGGTAATGTCTTGAGACATTTTTGCTTGTCTCAACTGGGGGCTACTCCTAGCATCTATTGGGTAGAAGATAGGAATGCTGGTTGACATCCTTACAACTCACATGAAAAAGAGTAACTTGGCCCAAAATGTCAACAGTGCTGTGGTTAGGAAACTTTGATATGTTATATGAGGATCTGTTCAAGTAAAATCATAAATTCATTTACCTAAAAATATTTATTGGGAAAACATGCTTATACCAAACACTATTATAGAAATGAGATATATGAATTTTGTCAAAAAAAAAAAAAAGAAAGTAAGTCCTGGTTTTTGTCACTATAACCTTTCATTACAGTAGGGGAGGCGGATCAGATGTAAGTAAAAATATTATATACATACGAGGTCTTGGCTCAGTCATGGATAAAAATATGAACATGTGTGTGCCACAGGGAAGAATAAGGGAAGGTCTTGTTCAAGAGGTAATATTTTATCCAAACATGGCAAGATGAAATAGACCCAGCCATAGAAAGAGATGGGAAAAGCCACCAACCAGAGGTAATGGCATGTGAGAGACAATAAGATTGGAAATTGAGTGATGGATGTCAAGAACTAAAGATGGTGTGGCTGGATCATACCAAACAACAGGAGGTTGGTGGGAGATTAGATCAAAGAGCTCTACACTCACAGGGACTTTGACAGTAGTAAATTTTTATTGGTATTAACAAACAGCGAACTTAGGTCAGGTATGCCTGACGTAAGTTATCATCATGGTCTTGTGCTGTTAGAGGTGTATGGAGAGGTGAACATTAATATAACATGGGCACTCGCCTTTGGTCTGATTCCAAAAGAGGCAATGGGTTAGAAGATTAGGGGGCACCTGAAAACTGAGTTCCAAAAGTATTTTCTGCTATTTTGCTCTAGATACTAACTTGTATTATCCACTCTTAAAAAGATACCTCTGTTGAAATTGTCTCATAGTCCTGGGTTAGTTCAAGTGACATAATTTAATTTTTAAAACAATAAGTGAAGAACAAAAATCTATTGCTTACCTTCCACTGACAAGCACTGTGTTTGCACCTAGCACATGAAGATTAATGTCTTGATTCCTGATTACGAGTGGCTTATTGTCTAGCAGGGGAGAGAATATTTCATTAGGAAATCGTGTGTGATAAAG